TCTTGACGATTCGACGCTGACTGCTCCTGCCTTCCCGGAGGGGGAGCGGGAGCGGGAGTGCACGGCACTGGTGGTCCTCGCGAGGGCATCCTGGCGCGCGGAGGCCAGGTCCTCACGAGCGACGAGCGCATCCGTTTCCACGCTCTCGCGGTCGGGGGACCGAGGCGCGATCCCATGGATATCAGGAGGAGGAAGAACACACAGACACAATTGATCGTCGATCCCCAGGAAGATATGGGAAATGTGGGAAGTGGGGGGGAAGACAAGAACCCAGAAAATACGGGAAACTATGGGGGATCGTTTTATTAGTGTGTATTTATTTGTGTGTCCCCGGGCCCCTTCAGGATACGCGATCCCATGGGTGCGTTCCGCACGGGACCATCCGCGCAGAGTCCCTTTGTACCCCCGGGCCTGTGCCGGGCGGCCCCTGCCGCAAGGCCAGGGGCACGGACAGGTCTCCCGCCCACGGGCTCTTCTCGCTGCGAGGTGTTGTGAGTCCGTGGTCCAGGTGCTTGCGGCACACCTGATCGGGCAAGAACGGGAAGCGCCGCTTTAGTCCAGTTGGTGCATTGGGAGAAGAAGACAAAGAATGTGAAAAAGAAGAAATATAATAATATTACTAAGAAGAATATCATTAATACTAATACTTTGAATAGATATTAATGAGAAGATGACGAACAATAATAATAGTAATAATAATAATAATAGTATGAATCTATAATAATAACAATTATGATGATTATAATAATACTAAGAATAAGTTACTAATACTAAGAATAAAAGTGCGAATCATACAGATAATCGTACTATTAAGAACAAGACAAGGAAGGCGAGGACGGCCATTTTTCAGAAAGCCGCCAGCGTGGGTGCCCGGCGCAATCCGTAGCCATGAACTCGTTTCAACCACCAGCAAACGATCCACGCCGGGGGCGCTTCCCGTCATCCGCCACCGTGCCCGCGAAGCACTCCGCGTGGGGACCCCTCGAGCACCGCCCAGGGGGCCGTCGCGTGTGCCGCCACCTCGTCTCCGCTGCTCGAGGAGCTCTCAGAGGGAGGTGAAGGGAGCGGGCGCCAGGTGTCGTGGGCCCGCCTCTGAGCGCGCTTGGGGCTTCTGGCGCCAGGGCCCTCTGCACGAGACATTACGTGGCCCTCGAAAGAAGAAGAAGAAGTAGAAGAAGAATAATAATAATAAGAAAAATAAGAAGAATAATAAGAAGAAGACGAAGAAGAAGAATAATCAGCATACTCCGAGTTTCTTAGTGAGCGTCGGGGGGGCGTCACCCCCGCCGACAGCCCCGCATCGACCCCCGTCGCGGGCAGCCACCGCGCGCCGAAGGCGCTCCGAGCCCCCGTCGCGGCGCAACGTCGAGGGGAGGTTGACCCCCGTCGGGGGGGTGTACCTCCCGACGCTTACTAAAAACCCAGAGTAGACATCAAAAACGAAAAACGCTCATAAAAAAAAACGCATTAAAAAACGCTGATTACAATTATTTTGATGGAGGCCCGCGCGAATTTTTCTTGGACCGGCGCTGAGCCTCTGGCGGCGTTCCGGGCGCCGTCCCCGGCGCTCGGGGCGCCGCCCGCGGCGGCGTCGGAGAGCTGAGCTCGCCCTGGGCTGCTCGGGGGTGCCCGTTGAGGCCAGCTGGGACTGCTCGGGTCGGAGGTGGACAGGCCTCCTACCCTGACACGTCGATTGAGGAGTTGGCCGTTTTCGGTTCGCGGGAGGGCGTCGCGGCCGTCATTTTGCGGGTCCAGGTCCGTCGGTTTCGGTCCCAGGCCGTTGTCGCGAAGGGAGGTTTACTAGAGGGAGGTTTGTCCACCGCCGATCGGGGGCCCTTTGATAGGGGGCCACATGCGAGCCCTGCCCCTACCCCCCACGGTTTCTGAGGGGGAGGGCGGGGTTCACTTCGCTCGGGAGCTCCCGAGCGAAGTGAACCCCACCCTCCCCCTCAGAAACCGTGGGGGGTAGGGGCAGGGTTCGCATGTGGCCCCCTATTTGAGCCAGCCGGGACTGCCTCGGGGGGCTGCCTGTGCGCAGCCCGAAGCCTTGCCAACCCTGCTGGTCCAGTCTTCGTAAGACGCTTGCAGCGGAGGCTCGCGTCGATCTTCGGACAGGGTCACGCCGTTTGTCTGACGGCCTCGTCGGACAAAGCTGGGCCCCCCAAGCTCGAGTCTTTGGAGTGTTCGATCATTGGGCCCCGTGCTGAACGCAGCCAGCTCAGCATTGGCGCCGAAGGCCGCCGCAGACCGCCGAAGGTCGCTGGGAACCGCCACAGACCACCGAAGGCCTCTGGAGACAGTCCGAAGGTCCCTGAGATCTTCCGTGGCGAGCAACAAGAACAACAACACACAACGACTCGACCAGAGGCCTCGGCCCCCTCTTCCTGCGGCATTCTTCGAGCCGCGTCGGTCCGTGAGGGTCCCGAGGCCCGACACGAAGCAGGACCACCCACTGGAAACAATGCGACGCCAGGATCTCGGGGGGCAGCAGGTCCAAGGTCGGACACGAAGCGTCTTGCGCCTCCCCGACAGATGCCTTGGTCGTCGGCATGCGTGTGCGCGAAGGTGCAGGAGGAGAGAGTTTCGTGAGTGGGAGGTTCTGGGGCACCCTTGCCATTGTGCACTCCTCTGTGCCCGAGCGGGTTTCTCTTCGTGCCCAGTGTTCGTCTCCCTCCTTTTTTCTATCGTTCCCGCGTTCGTTGCATACCTTTGAAATTGATCGAGCGCTGCGTTCCGATATCTAGATTTCTCTATCGTGACCATCAAGACGAGATTTGTTTCCAACAATCCTGTGGTGTTGGGTCCTCGTTTTGCAAGAGACCCTCTTCCCCCCCCCTCCCCCTCCCATCCTTGCCTAAGCCGTCCGAGTGCCAATTTCGGTACACCCCTCAGACGCTTCGTGGCCCCACATGGAGCTCCACCGAAGGCCCTGTGGGGCAGCGCCCGCATGGCGTCACCCCGCCCACGTCGGTACACCCCTCGCACGTTTTGTGACCCCGCCTTCGTCCCACCTGCCTTGCGGCGCTCGCACCTGCACGTGGTCGGGCACTTCGCCAGCGTATTTCTTCCCGGGAGGGGCGAGGAGCGGCCCTCGCGGGGCGGCGCGCCGTCGTCGTCGTCGTCGTCGTCGTCGTCGTCGTCGTCGTCGTCGTCGTCGTCGTCGTCGTCGTCGTCGTCGTCGTCGTCGTCGTCGTCCTCGTGGCCCGACCTTCTGCGACGGCATGCTTCTCTTGGAGGCTGAAGTCGGACGGCCCAGGCAGCGCCCACGTCGGCCCGATCGATGCGACTCGATTCCTGCGCCTCCCTAGAGATCGCACGTCTTCGCCGTCGATGCGGAAACAATCGGAAAAAAACAAAAAAATCAGAGTCTTTTAATTGTCTTTTTTAGGTTCTCAGAGGTTTTCTCTCTTCGGGATGCTCCCCAGTGGCTGCGCCTCATCGAGAGCCTTCTGGGGGTGCCCGAACGGTTCCGAGCGGCCGCTGGAGGCCCGAATTAAGGCCCGAAAATGACCGTCAAGTAACTGCTCGAGACGAAGAGTCGGTCACCGCGAATGGTTCGAGACCTCTGGGAGTCCGCGCTGTGAACAAATCACGTCGTCGGGGAGACTGGGTCGCTAGACGTGGTCCTGGCCCAAGGTGCCTGGAGATCCTGGCGTCGCATTTTTTTTTCGCAGCGGGCGGGTTTGCTCTGTCTAGGGCCCCGGGGCCCTCACGGATCGACCCGGCTCGAGAGTTCCCCCAGGAAGATGGGATCCAGGGCACGGGTCACGTTTTTTTCCCTACCATCTTGTGGTGTTGGGACTTCGTTTTGAATACGTATTCCCCCGCGTTCTTCCTTCCTCCTCCCCCTCGTCCCCCTCCTCTGTCCTCTCGCTTCTGCCCTCGGCTTGTTCTCATCGTCGTCGTCGTCGTCGTCCTCCTCCTCATCACCATCACCACCACCACCACCACCACCATCATCATCATCATCATCATCATCATCATCATCATCATCATCATCATCATCATCATCATCATCATCATCATCATCATCATCATCATCACCATCACCATCACCATCACCATCACCATCACCACCATCACCATCACCATCACCATCACCATCACCATCACCATCACCATCACCATCACCATCACCATCACCATCACCATCACCATCACCATCACCATCACCATCACCATCACCATCACCATCACCATCACCATCACCATCGCCATCGCCATCGCCATCGCCATCGCCATCACCATCACCATCATCATTATCATCATCATCATCACCACTGCCACCATCATTAGCATAATCATCATCATCGTCTTCATCATCATCATCATCATCATCATCATCATCATCATCATCAACAACAACAACAACAGCAACAACAACAACATCATCATCATCATCATCATCACCGTAGCCATGTTGGCTCAAGGTTGGCTCAGGGATTGGCGCACGGCTGAAACCCAGGTCGACACTAAGTGCATGGGTGATTCATCGCCAACACGGGAACGACCTCCAAGGCGCGGTGCAATGGTGTCGTCTACCGCGGACGGCAAGCTGATTGTCCCCGGAGAGCCCCAGCCGATCTCCCTCCAGGGCTGGCTTGGCATGCAGGCGGACAAGGCGGCTGACAAAGCCGCAGAGAAGTTCAGCAAGCAGATGGGCGATATCGCAGACAAGGCCGCCAAGAAGGCGTGCGAGGAGTTGGACCAGAAGTACCAGCAGCAGTTGCAGGAGATCCAGGGCGACATCGCGGCCCTCAAGAACAAGAGCTCTACGTCTTCAATGTCGTCTGGGTCAGAGGCTGGCGGAACTGGGGGTACTGGAGCGAGAATCCGGCGAGGAGAACCCGCGGTCGAGCTCAAGGGGTGGATCGCCGACTGGACCAATCTGGATGACAGTGCTCTCATACTGACGCAGGGTTTCCGCCCTCGCTTAGGAAATCGTCAGCCAGATCACCGATGACCGCAAGAACAGCATCGACGGGCCTTACACCCAGGAGATGGCGACGAGCGACGATTTGTTCAACAAGTGCATGATCTACCTGAAGGAGGACGCGTCCCAGTCCACAGCCATCTCGCTGGCCAAGGCCATCCAGGAGGTCATCGACGACAGGACCATCGTCCAGAACGCAAGGCCAGTGCTTTGCCGGGTGCAGGCGACCAAGGAGTTCAAGCCCCTTGCTCGTCAGGCCGGGAAGTTTTACGCGCTCTTGGAGAAGTACGGGATTGACAAAAACACCATCAGCATCAAATTTCAAGTGTACTCGCGCTCATTTGTGGTACGTTCAGTGGCTTCTTCGAGGCCAGTGCGGATTGCGACATGGACGGAGTGAAACCACGGCAATCAGTGGGAGATCATTGACGAGAAGTGGAACCAGTTTGCTGCGGGGAGGTTGGACGCACAGTCTGCCCGCACTGACCTCATGCAGTGAGGCTTAATGATGGCTAGATCTAGAGGCTACATCTCTCGGTCCACCCGGGCTCTCAAAGTCGTGTCGTGGAACGTCGGGGATCTGGGATGGGAACATTCTTCTGATCTTCTGGGCTGGATTGTCCGGCAATTTGGTGGTGGAGGGGTGGTTCTGCTCCAGGAGGTCCAGAACTGGCCGCCCAATCCGACCCTGCCGGGGTGGTAGATCTACCACATGGCCGGGCACTACATCGCTATCGCAATCCAGGCAGCTTTTGCTGGCAACGTGGCTGGAGAATTTATAAGTTTCCCGCGCGCGCGTGCACCCGTTCTTGCGGGTGTGGGGGTGTGCAGCAGTTACCTACCAGTCATACGAACAGATGCAGTACACTCAACACTGGGGTCCGGGACCTACGCAAAGTCCGGAAACTGTGATTCAAGAACAGTGCCAAGTATTTGATTTTTGGAGAGGACCTGAATTGGCAGATGCCCTGCAACGTGCCGAGCATCAGCGTGGAGAACGCCCACGGGGAGTTTGGGTCAGTGCCGAGCGAGAAAACAGGTCGTCAAGACATCCTCATCAACCTCCTCTCTCAATGGAAAATGGCCCTACGTACTACTTATGGCCATGCTTTAAAGTTAGCAGAGAAACGTATTTTTTTCACGCATTGGGGCAGCATCGTGATCTAGTTCTGGATTAAATTGCTCCTCCCTCCGTTTGGTCGTGCAAGTGTGCTTGACATAATTCCGATGTCGTGCGCCTGGGTGGTTGCCAACGTGACCACTCTTCACCTCTACTCATTGTTCGGAACAACGAGAGTGACCAGGTGCTACTCCCGCGTGCCCGTGCTATGACAGGTTGGGAACCGATGGGGCAGGCAGCCCTGCAGAAGTACAGGGAGCTCACAGACAGAAAATGCAGCCAAATCGTCGCAACCATGTCATATTCCCAGACATCCGAGGCGCTCGGCGCCGTTACGGCGACCATCAGAGAAGCGGGAACGACCGC